ACACTCCTGCCGGTATAGACCACATGGGACTCCTTTCCATAAACCATGCTATTAAACACACACACTTTATTCTTACTAAGTTGTTCTTTGTTTTATTTTTTTTATCCCCCCCCCCCAATAGGGTGCGTGTGTTTGCCAGAGACAGTGAGAGAGAAAGTGAGAAATCACCCTGCAAGGGGATGGCCGTGCTGCAATCCTTCCTCCTCCATTCTCCTCCATGCCCGGCATGATTTTCAAATTGCTGGGTCCGGGCCTTGAACCACAGTTAGCTAGTGCAAGTCCAGCCCCTTAACCACCAAGCCACCTGCTGACCCCTGAAGCCAGTTTTCTCATACTCCCCATAGAAGTAAGGAAACAGAGTCTAACAGAAAGCCCAACTGGTGTCCACGGTCTCCCAACAGAACCGGATTTCATCTGGCTGCGAACTCCGAAGCATATCCTCTGAAGCTGCCAGATTAAATCATTCAATCTCCAGTGAGCATACAAAACATACAACTGGGTAAAAGAAGAGTGATTTTCAAGAAGCTCATTTGAGGAAACGCATTTGAGCCTTGCCAAAAGCCTCCAGGAACTGAGTGTACTACGGAGCTGTCAGCATTCCTAGATTGGAGATAGAAACTTAATCTCCAGGCATCTGGCTAAGGAACTTTTATTGACTCTTCCTCGATAATAAGTGTTTCTGCTTTGAACCTTGTTGCAGATCAGTTCTCCAGAGCCATCAATTGCTAACATGTCAAGTGCCTAACGCCAAGGCCACATTTCATGAGCATAGAGTTCCTCTGCGAACTCCTAGAGGGTAGGAGTGGAGTGGAGACAGTGGAAGACTCCTGAGAGTCTTCCAGAAACAAAGCCCAGACTTCTGAGCCAAATTAACCCCTCCGCCCCAAGAGAATTACAGGCCTATATCTAAACTTGGTGGAAAAAAGTGGTAACTATACGTCGAAAGCAGTCAACCACAATAACTGCTGCTTCTCTCAAACTCAGAATCTCGGTGTGTTCTTTGTATATCAAAGACTCATCTATAACACATGCATTATTCTCTTGGCCCGAGAAGTGTGAATTTTTTGCTAGCTACTTGCTGATTTTTATTTGAAGAGAGATCTTTACTATAGGGTATGTGCATTCACCAGAGAGAGACAAAGAGACAGAAAGAGAGAAATCACCTCCCAAGGAAGATGCCCATGCCACAGTCCTTTCTCCTCTATCCACCTCTCAGGACTCTGGGCATGCACGCACATGTGCCTGGCATGAGCTTCAAGCTGCTGGGTCCAGGACTCAAACCACAGTTGACTACGTGGGAGTCTAGCAAAGTAACCATTATGCCATCTGTTAGTCCCAACTTGCTGATATTTTTAAGCTACCCTCTCTCACCCACATATTTTAGGAACTGCTCAAGTGGTTTATTGGTTAAATAACTACATCTTGAGATACATCCTAATGAATTTATGCAATTTACACTGCACTGAGCTTGTGTTACAACACAAGGCACACACACTGATTGAAGCAGCCAGTCCCAAGCGGGAGCTGTGGAAGGTCTCTGCGAGAGCAGACAGTGAAGCAATGAGTACCTGAGATCTCAGTGTGACCAGGCTGCAAACTTCACCATTTAGACACCCCACTCCAATCTCTTTAAATTAAAATGTAAATGTTATTTAGTGACTATTTCTCTATTATTTGGGTAGTAAAGGAAATACACAAAGTAGATTATCCAAAGTAGTAAAATGTAAGACAAAGATGTTAAACTTCAGAATTATTTTATACATTTTACTTTTCTGAATTTCTTTTGCTTATTAAATTTAGCTTGTAAGTTCCATGCACACACTAAATGACTCCAGGCGGCACTGGTCTGAATGTGCAATTATAAAATTAAATGCAATAATAAAAATAGGACAAGTCCCTGAAGGACACCTGAAAACCGACTATAATTTACTATTCATTATAACCAAAAAATGGAAAATTCTCATATTAGCACCAGGATGAATCAGGTCAGGGGAAAACACATTTTACTTGAAAGTACTCTGAAAACTCTGAGAGTTTCCCTAGAATTTTACAATGCATCATTTAAGTAAATATTTCATTATAACAAGAAGGTGATCAAAATGAATTTAGAGGGACCAGTAGTTAGCGTAATGGCTGGGTCGCTGGCCTCCCCTGCAGTTGACCGTGGTTCGAGTTCCGGACCCGGTGGCTTATAACTCACGCCGGGCAAGTGTGCGTGCGTGCCCAAGCTCCTGAGAGGAGAATGGAGGAGAAGGGATTGCGGCGTGGCCCTCCCCCTCAGGGGGTGATTTCTCGCTTTTTGTCTCTCTGTCTCTCTCTGTCTGGTGAGCACACGTGCCCTATAGCAACAACTTCTCCAAAAAAAAAAAAAAGAAAAAATGAATTTAGAGACTCTGTTATGCCAAGTGTATCCTTTATTGTCTTATTTATGTGCACTTTGGAGCCTGTAGAGAAATTAACGCAGTGGTGTGAGTGAGATCGTTGTAGATGAAACTGAAATGAATCTAGAATGTCACTTCAGAGCCTGACATAGTCCACTTCATTCTCTCCTGATCCATACGGGGCTCTACAATTTCTGCAGCCCTTCCATACTAGGCGTACGTCAGCAATCCTCCCTCTGGTCCCCATGGCATCAGCGCCGCCAGCTCTTCCCAACCCGCCATGTTGCATCTACTGATGACATTGGTTGAGCTCCTTGGAAGAACCAGGCACTTGCCCAAGCCCTGGATGCCATTTAATACTTACAGCAACTTTCCAAAGGACAGCTGTTAACCCTATTTAACAGACAGAGGGGGATCTGGCCCGTGGCCCCGTAGCCTCCTTTTCTATCACAGCAGTCTGTGGCGTGGTGGCCCCCCAAAAGACTCATCGTGTCCTAACTCCTGGAACCTGCAAATGTTACCTTCTTTGGAGAAAGGTTGGGTATGATGAAGGATCCTGCGGTGAAGACCTCATCCTGGAGTGCCTGAGTCAGCCCTCAGACCAATGACAAGTGTCCCTATGGGACAGAAGAGAAGACACGGCACACCAGGAGTAGGCCCTGTGCAGATGGCGGTGGGAACTGGAGTGATGTGGCCGCTATCATGGAATGCCCGAGACCCAAAGACAAGCAGAGAAAGAAATGAAGTCTCCCTCGGAGTCCCGGGAGAGAGCATAGCCCTGCCAGACCTTGAACTTTCAGCCTCCAGAACCGTGGGAGAATGAGCTTCTTTTGTTTAAGCCACCCAGCTTGCCACGGCAGCCCTAGGCACTAACACAGCCAGTGTGCACATGGCCACCACCACGGACAGCCCACTTCTTTTGTGTTTCTCTTCTATTTTTTTTTTTTTTGTAAGATAGAGTTTGTTATAGACATGTATGCTTGCCAGAGAGAGACAGAAACAGAAAGCAAGCAATCATCCCCCAGGGAGGATGGCCACGCCACAATCCCTTCTCCTCCATTCTCCTCCCAGGGTTTTGGGCATGCACACACATGCATGCATGAGTTTTAAGACAGGTCCAGGACTTGAACCACAGTTGACTACATGGGAGTCCAGCGATGTAAACCTGCTTGCATTTGCTGGTCCTCCAGGTTTTAACTCAGGGCAAAACCCTAACCGAGTATCTCTCTATACCATGAACACGCCCTCTGCATGTGACTCCGCTGAAAAACATTTTCCTGATTCTGTGACTCCAAATAGCTCCTCGTTTACTCCTACAATTCAGAATCCACCTGAAAGCTATGGCCAGGCAGGCCTTTTGCAGTTAAAATAATAAATGACTTAGCCCTAGTCCAGGCATGTTTTGTACCCTGATTATAATAAATGAACACAGATAACATGGGACCTATTTGCATTTGAAAATACAATTTGTGCTAATACGACGTTACTAATCTAACATTTTCCTAACATTTTAATCTAGGTCATAATTGATGTTACATATGAATATATATTCCACACATGGTTTGAATTTGGAAAACTGTGTAGTTCGTGTTTCAAGCAGCCCAGGACGTACTTTCAACAGATTTACTCTTATTGAAAATTATTCCGAGTCCTGTTTGATTTGACCTGGACAGTCTCTCCCCGTGTCTCTGCATCTACTCTCATCCTCCTCCCCCTGCTTTGTGCCCCAGGGTTGAGTAGACTCATCGCATTCTCGCCCATACTCCATTTAGATGGTTTAGATGACAATATCTGGGACTTTGGGGGTGATCCTATTTCTTTGTTTTGCTTTGTTTCAAGAGAGATTTTTTGCTACAGTCGTGTGCACTGGCTGGAGTGATCGAGACAGAAAGCGAGAAATTATCTTCCGGGGGGCCGGGGATGGGGGGGTGCATGCCACAATCCCTTCTCCTCCATAATCTTGGGATTTGGGACATGCATGCACATGCACCCAGGGTGAGTTTCAAGCAAGTCTGAGACTTGAACCATGGTGGGCCATGTGGGAGTCCAGCGGCATAACCATTACGCCACCTGCTGGCCCCTAGGGATGATTGTACCTAAGAGAATATCTAAGGGTATTCTTTCTCCTCTCCCCAACGCAGGACTGAAGGGGCTGGTAGCGGCCGTGCTGTTCTGCCTGGGTCTGGCTCGTGGCACCTCGCCTATTGGAAGTTCCCTGCGTAGCTCCTGGCCCTTTTTCTCTTGGAGTCCTGGGTGTCGGGGCTGCAGCTCCCTATCATGAGTGCCCGGCGCTGAGTCCCCCCGGCTCCTCTCACTTGCTGGCTGTCTCCCCTGCCTACACAGCGTGGTCTGAATCCCACTTGGAGCTATCTTCAGCCAAACCCTCACTGGCACAGCCATGGAGTGGCCCTGTGAAGGCACCACGGAAAATTCAATTATCCCATGCTTCAAAACATTTCTAGTTTCAAAGAATTACCACTGGCTATCACCGATAGACGTTGATTTTTTTTTTCTCTCCTTTAATAACAACAAGGAAAGGCCAGTTAGGGACTGAGTTTTTGTCTCAGACACGTCGACTGTAGCCAACTCTACCACGGACTACGTTTGGTTCCGGAGTACCTGTCATTGCCGTCGGTGTCGCACTCGGGGAAAGCCAGGCTACAGCCAAAGAGCATGATGTGCTGGTAGCAGCCGAGGCGGTGCAGGTACGTGAAGAACTTGAGGAACTTCTCCGTGTCCATGCTTCTGGAAATCGAGAAGAGAGGCGCCCGCGCGGCGTGGTAGGGCAGCGCGTGGCACTGGCTGTGCGTGATGTCCGTGCAGGCACCTGGGGGGAGAGGGCACGTCAGCCGGTGTGCTGGCCGACTCGCTCATGTGACACGCTGCCACGTTCGTAAAGCAGGATTCCAGTACAGACACAACCATCAAAAACACGCGTGTGACCATGGGACCTGGTGCATCACAGTGAAATCGAGGGTGTGTGATGACAAAACCAAGAATCTACGGTGTAGAGCGCGCCCATCTGCGTCCTGGCCGGACATGTGGGCAGATGCCCACACGCTCTGGGGGGCAGACGTGGGGCCCGGTGTGCAAGACCGTGTGTGTTGTATATCCTTTGACATTGTAATGTCATTTCTATATCTTTATTAAGGAAATGATTGTGATTGCGAACATGGATTTATCTACGGGGATCTTCCGCGCATGGTTTACAGCTTTAAAAGACAGAAACCACCTAAATTTGGTGAAGGAAATTGGTTTAAAATACTGCTATCGTGCTGAGAGTGGATTATTTTTTTTTTTCCTTAGGTTTTTGCCATAGGGTGCATATGCTTGCTGGACAGAGATAGAACAGAGAGAGAGAAAATGAGAAATCACCCCCCAGGGGGCGTGGCCACGCTCCCTTTTCCTCCGTTCTCCTCTCAGATTTGGGGCATGCATGCACATGCACGTGGGTAATTTTCTTGTTTCTTTTTACATTTTTAAAATTTATTTTACTTTATATACAAATAGCCAGGACAATCTCTTTCACTGGGTGGATATCTTGGACAGTCCATTCAAGGAAGATCGCTTAGTCCAGTCTGAGGAAGTCTATGTCCTTCGCGTACTGACGGTGCACCCTGAGGCCGTGCTTCCGGAGCAGACCGTGCTGGTTTGAGCACAGCGGCAGGAGCGAGGCCCAGCAGAGCTGCCGACGACTTGGCTTGGTTTCATTGGGGCAGTGAGGCCAAAGGAAAGAGCTTGCAGGATTTTCAAGCTGACGGGTCCAGGACTTGAACCACTCAACCACTATGCCACCTGCTGGGCCCAGCATTGGATCATTTTTTTAAGATTCCTTAAAATCGGAGCCAGCAGGTGGCATAATGGTTACATTGCTGGACTCCCACATAGTTGACCATAGTTTGAGTCCCGGACCCGGAGGCTTAAAACTCACACTGGGCACATGTGTATGAATGACCAAAGTCCGCAGAGGACAGTGGAAGAGAGGGGACTGTGACATAGCTCTCTCCCTTGGGGGGGTGATTTCTCACTTTCTGTCTCTCTGCCTCTGTCTCTCTGTGAGTATATGCACCCTACAAAAAAGACTCTTTTTAAAAAAATTATTAAAATTTAAAATGACTTTTTAAAATAAAAGCAAAATAATATTTAAACTATAATGATTAGACTACATCATAATATTTTTAAAATAAAAGAGCTTTGCAAATTAAAAATACTGAAAAATGAGCTGGCTCTAGAGTACTCACATGGCCAGCCAGGGTTCAAGTCCCAAGCCTGGCAACTTGAAAAAGATTTTTTTAAAAAATGTGCATGCATGGTCAGGATCCTGACGAGATGAACTGCAGGGGGAGAGAACTGCAAGGTGACCATCTCTGTCACTCTCACTCTCATGCACACACACACACACACACACACACACGAGAAAACGTCTTTCTAAAGTACTCTGTGGGCCAGTAGGGGGCATGGAGGTTAATGGATCCCACGTGGCCATCTGCGTGGTTTGAGTCCTGGAAAAGCATGCCTGGCTCAGGGGAGTACATGGGCCAAATCCCGAGAGAACAGAGAAGAAGCGATTGTGGCATGGCCACCCCCCCGGGAGGGTTGATGTCCTACTTTCCCTCCGTCTTATAGCAATACTACTTGGCTGTCCTTTGTACAGCGCCCTAACAAGCCACTGGCGATGTCTCTGACCTCCTGTACAACTGCCCATTTAATTCAAAGACTATCAGCCCAGGGCCCGCTGCATCAGGAGGCAGGACTTCAGCAGAGCTGGTTTGCCCTGTTGCGCCTAAATGCCTCATTTTAATTCACAGGTGTGCCTCCAGTCTCCTCGTGGACACTGCCTGTTTGTCGCAATTCCAGAGCCTGAGAATTGAGTCAAGTGGCAGAGGGTCTCTGTTCAGCCCTGCGCGGTGGCTCGGGACGGAAGGTATGTCAGGGCCGGCCTTCTTGCCAAGTTCCCTTTACGATTCCTCTCACCCACGCTGCCTTGATCTTGTTCTGCTTCCCATGTGACACCTCTTATCACCTCCTTAGTTTAATCCAGCCTTTTCCGGGCTGTGCCATTCTCACGCTCACCACCGCGGTGCGTGGTCCTAGTATTTCCAGAGCCTTTCCAGCAGTCCCGGCCTATTCTCAGCGCTGGCTCGGGTGCCCTCCTGAAAGTTCTGTCTCCGTCTCCTGGCTGAGGAGATGAGGCTGACCGATTGCCCCAGGCCCACGCAGCTGGTGAGTGGCAACACCACACCCCCAGTCCAAACCCACATCTTAACAGCAGCCGCCATTACCCCAGCCATGTGAAGACTTCTCCCCAGGGCCTCACCCACCACTACTGTGGGTCCAGAGAGGCAGGGGCAGAGGCAGGCGTTGATCCAACCATGGAGGCAGGTGTTGTTCCGACAACTTTCTACTGAGCTCCTACTGTGTGCAAGGCCCTTCTCTAGGAGCAAAACAGAGTCCTTGCCCGATGGAGCTCATGGCTCAGCGGGGTAGACAAAAAGCAAACAAATGAACATGCACATACACTGTCACTGACACACAGTCACGGCGTCTGGAGGTGAGCAAAGTAGGTCTGCTTTCATGGGGGACTAGCGTCGCAGTAGGTGAGTCAGTCATCATCGGGAGCGGGGTGGAAGTCCACGCCACTGCTGGGCACAACCAACGGGAATGAACGGGGACGTCAGAGAGATGTCCGCACACCCATGTCCACTGCCGCAGGACTCCCCACAGGCAAGACGGGGAATGAACCTACATGTACCCCAACAGAGGGATGGGTAAGGGACACGTACACACCCCCAAAATACTACTCAGTCCCTAACAAGAAGGAAATCGTGCCATTTGCTAACCTGGACCCTGAGCTAAGTGAAACAAGCCAGGCACAGACTAAGACCAGATGGTCTCCCTGAGGTGTGGGATCTAAGAAGTTGAACCCGTAAAAGCAGAGACTAAAGTGATGGTTACCAGAGACTGGGGGACTCAGGGGACAGAAACTGGGAGATGTTGGTCAAAGACGCTGTCAAAATGTAAGAGATCTCTTACACGATATGGTGACTCCAGTTAACAATGTACTCGGAAAATTCCTGAGAGTAAATTTTAAGTGTTCTCCCCAAAAATATTTCAAGTTAAAAGAAGAGAGAGAGAAAAAAGAGACCCAAGTGACATAACATGAATTGTTCATCTCTCACATAACTACAGGCAGTGGTTTGCACTAGGGAGGTGGCCATGGGTCCCCAGAGAAGGGCGATTGATACTAGAGGACGCTTCGTGTCTGGTCCCGGCCGTGCTGGGCCCTGAGCGCGGGTCAGGGCTGCACCAGCAGCATGCAGGAAGGAAGGCCGTTCCCCGCCCTAGAGAGCGCATGCCAAACATCATCTCACCAGAATGACTCCTGAGACAAACCTGCTAGAAAGGAGACTGTGGACTTGGGAAGATCCATGACAGGAGGAGGCAGGCAGCCCACGACGGGGCCTCTCTGAAGAGTCTACCGCCTTAACTGGCTCTGCTAACTCCGAATTCAAGCATGGGGACGATTTTGTTTCTCATAAGAAAAAATCAAGGAGACAAAGGGAATGCACATTTCTTTTCCTTTTTCTAAGTGTATTTATTTTATTTATTCTGACTGGGAGGGAGGGAGGGTCCTCATGCCACCACCTGTCCCCAGTCTCAGCTAGCCTGGATCACAGGCATGGTGGGTATGCCCAGAGTGCAGGGGAGGTCCCAGGACAAGAATCCAAGACCTATCGTGTGCGGGTCCAGTTGTGTTACCAAATGCCAACAAATGTGCCCCCACCTGACCTCACGGACCCATTGGTTTTACTTTGTTATAATTTCTCATTCACGTTTAATTGTACATCTTTGTAGGGTACAGGGTACAATACGGAGTCAAAGAATACGTCCAGTGTGCGCTAATAAATCAAGGATAATAGCATGGTCCTTTCCAACAAAGAACTCCATGTTATAATATGGGCTGTAAAGTATTGCTCAACGAGCTTTTCTTCCTTTTTCCTTCCTGTTCTCTTAGTTCTTTTTTTGATATATACAGACACACACACACACACACACACACATATATACATATATATATGTATATATAAAACATATATTCACACATGCACATATATATATATTGCATAGGAAAACAGAAAATATATACATATTATACACCATACACACACACACACTATATATATGTATATACACACACATAGACATATATGTGCAATATATGCATATGTGCAATGTCTGTTCTTTTCGGTCTGTGGTGCTGTGCTATGCCATCCCATAGCCTATCTGCCTTGTCTACTGCACTCCCGTGTCTGTTAAATACTTTTTTCTGAACCCCTCCTGCCCTCCACTCCTACCCCCCCATGCTGTCTCTACAATTGTCCTCTCTGTTTCTCCATCTTCAACTCTTTCACTATCTGCTACAGAGTACAGTTCAAATCTTTCACTATCTGCTACAGAGTACAGACGTTGGCCTATACTGAGTGAGCACGTACAGTGTTTGTCTTTCTAGCCTGGCTTTTTCATCTACTATTACACCCTCTCGATTCAAGCACTGTATCGAATCACAGGACCGCATTGTTATCTAGGGCAGAGCATTCCACTGCGTATAGGTGCCCCTTTCCTTAATCCAGTCATCGGGTTTGGGACACGTTAGGTTGATTCCGTCTTAGCTAGTGTGAATGATGCTGCAGTAAACAGAGATGTGCACATGTGTTCCTGACCGAGTGATTCCTTCCCCTTGGGTAGGGACCCAGTAGTAAGACTGCGGGTCTGACGGTGGTGCCATTTGTACACTTCTGAGGAACGTCCACAGTGTGTCCTCAGTGG